AACAATGAATGAATGGAATCCCAAAATCTCTGTAGATGTTCATTGAAATGAAAAATAAACAACCTAAATTAAAAAAAAGAAAACAAAACTCATTACTACTAGGCCAATAGGCAGCATCATGAAATCAGAAGACAAGGTGCATTGGGAAAATTTTCTTTCAAAGACTTTTCCAGGGTCTGTTCCTAAAGAACAATGATGTTAAAGACTAAGGTGCACCTGATCCAAGCCATGATCTTCTCAGTTGCTTTCTGTGTATCTGAAAGCCAGATATGACGATAGATAACAGAGGAAAATCTATGCCTTTGAGTTATGGTGCTGGAGAAGAGGATTGAAATTCCAAAAGAACAAACAGTTCTGTCCTGGATAAAGGGACACAAGGGTGCTTCCTGGAGGCAAGAATGGTGAAATTTCATCTCACATACTTTGGGCATGTTGGAAGGAGGGGTCAGTCCTTGGAGAAGGACAACATGCTGGGAAGGATAGAATGTGAGTTAAAAAAGGAAGTCGCTCCATGAGTTGGATTGTGGCAGTGAGATCAGGTGTGTTGGAGATGGCAAAGTGGGTTCAGGATAAGGCAAGGTTCAAAGATATTGTTCATAAGGTCACTATGAGTTGTAGCCTACTAGATGGCACATAACAATAATCTTCTCTCAAGGCACCTCACTCATGATAGTATGATGTTTACACAGCTTTAGTTTTATTCTACCGCACTACCCCAGATCCTTTATGATGAACACTTGCTCATGATGATTCATGTTAGTCTACTGGACTTGAGAAATTCTAAAAGAGCTTTTCAAAGAGAGATAAGATCCATAGAAGTATGGCATGGAAAAGAACCTAGAGAAGAAGAGGCTGAGGGAGGGGAATTGAGAAATGAGGTAAGGAATCCCTATAATGCTCTTAAAGAAATTCTATCTTCCAGCTTGATAGGAAGATTGGAAATGCACCTAACAGCTGCAAAGCCTTTTAAATGTACATTCTCAGGGAATATGTAGCAACTTTCTACAAATTATTAATCTCACTTTGCAGAGGAAGAAATTGTGTCTTCAAAAGTTTGAGTGACTTTTAAAAGCACAGAACTAGTAAATGAAAGGTTTAAACCAGAGTGGTGTGGCATCCTACTCTCTGTCATCGTTGGCTGATGGTTGATGGCACATTGCACCCTCTTTTCCACCCTCTTGGGATAACCTAGTTGACCATCTTAAATATTTAAATTATTATGCACATGAGTTTTATTCTATTGCTGAGGACTTTCAATAGGGACGATGCAATAAAACCTGCTCAGAGAGCTGGAGCTGTGTTCCTGTAGATTCAGACTCACTTATTCAACCTTTTGCATCTACTTTGATCTCAGAGCTTTAAGGTTTTAAAGATCCTCTCATTTCCTTTCTCTTATTATCCCATCAGGTGCAATGCAGGCAAGGGATAGGCAGAAAGGAATGAGCTCCCCGAATATCTGAGTAGTTCCCAGGATCTCCACAGATAACCATCCACTGTCATTCTCAAATAACATCATGGACAGAAGCCTTGGGTGAAGCACAGCAGCAAAAGAATGAGGGAACTAGGGTTCTAGTATAGAGAAGGAGAGACAAAACATAAAGTGGGGAATACTGACCTTGGAACAATGTTGAGCTTGTAGGCTCATTTAGTTCTAAATCAGGTGAGGGACATACAGGAGAAAAAAAAATTAAAGCAAACATGCATATTATATACAGCACCTATATATTTGACATATATAGTTCGTATACAATTTTTCAACAAACATTTCCAGAGGAATGGATAAATCAGGAAAGATAAAAAACAAAACCAACTCCCCCCCCCCAAAAAAAAAACACCAAACCAACAACAACAACAATCAGTGGTGAGATGCCCAGGTGAGCATGAGAAACACCGAAATGCATTATGCTTCTGTTTTGGATGCAATGGTTGGGCAATGAGCAAGCTGGTCTATGCATTGTCCAGGGAAGATGAAATTACTCTTAGTTTGTGCTGATGAGTTTGAGAACAAAGTAGGTGCAAAACCTCCCCTCCCTTCCCCCCCCCAATGAAATATCCTTTCATGCTCCCAGCTTGTATTTAGCTGAGCATGTTCAGAAATCTAGTCACACAGCACCATGACAGGAACAAGATTCCAGAATCATGGTGACCCAGTATTACAGGAGTAGACCTCTTGGAGTCTCCTATAATCTCTGCAGTCTCAGAACTCCATTTAGTTCATGACAGGATGGATCCTTGTCTAATTGGACAGGAATCTCCCATCACTGACCATTCTTCTGTTCATATGTTCAGACCAAGTGAAGAGAGGACATAGTTGGTAGACAAATCATTACAAACAAATCATTACATTACAAATCATTACAGACAAATTGACTGTAGTCTTGCTGGCATTCTAAAGGAGATTGAATTTAATGCTAAATTCATTAATTCTCATCAAATACAGACTGCTTACCATCTTGCTCAAGTTGGCCTGACAACCCTGATAGGCTGTCTGATATGGATAAAGATATGGAAAACGTCACAATTTATTTCACTTTTTTGAAATGGAAAAGGCCTCAGCGATGATGATCTTCAATAATGAAGGAGGAAACCCATCAATGGTGAGCCTCATTAATAAGGAGGAGTCTCATCAATGGTGAGTTTAATAATTATGGAAAAGCCTTATCAATGGTTAACTTAAAAAATGAAGGAGAAGCCTCATCCACGGTGAGCTCAGTAATGACAGAGAAGCCTCATCAATGGTGAGCCTCAGTAATGAGGGAGGAGCCTTATCAATGATGAGCTCAATAACGGGAGAGGAACCTTATTAATGGTGAACTTCAATAATGAGAGAGGAACTTCCATAGAGATGAGATGAGCCTGAGTAGAGCAGATGGGCTAGAAACATCATCCCACACACTAGTGTAGCTTCAGTATGCCAATGGAGCTCTGACACCAGTACAACATTTCTGAAATATTCCTCAGAAGTACTATGTCATTTGAGGTGAAAGAAGTTTGTGAGGTAAATAAATTTTTGCCTTCTTCTTGAGATTTTGTAGTATGGAAGTTTGAAATGTCTCTATTAATTCACCACAATAAGTTAAAAATATATACCCAACAAAAATCAATTTCCTAATTCTACAGAAAGCACATCATCATATTGGACTCCTGAAAATGCAATGGGTGTGACTGTCCTGCATGATGCCCTTGCCTGACTGCCAGAGGGCTGATGGGTTTGAGAAAGCAAAGATTTTAATTGTCAAAAAAGGGCTTGATGAAAAGAATAGATTTATGGCATATGGCTCATTGCTTTCATTTTCACAAATGGCAGTAATTTTACTCTAAAAGAAGTAAAAATGTTGCTGCTTCTCCCTATTCTCATCTTGAGATAGTTTTAGAGAAGGAGACCAGGGAATTAGACAGCAGTGATAAAGTCCTTCATGCATCCAAATCAGAAGCAGGAGAAGGAAGAATATTTATAGGCATATGGACTGTGGTGGGTAGAAGCCAGCACTTGGGGAGTATGGAAGGACAGCCAGGGAGAGGTATGCTGTCCAGGATCAAGGAAAGCAGGGCCAGTCCTTACTAACCCGTGCTGTCTGTACATGCAGACAGACACCTGCCAAAAACTCTAAAAGATTAGACACATGTGAAGTGCAATTATGACTAACCCTGTGTGTGAGATGTCAGACACATCAATCACTCCCATCACAGCTCTGCCCATCTGAAGTACCAGAGCTGAGATTCCTGGTTATAACTAAAGTAAGTTTTACTTTATGTACTAGGCCTAGGCTGCAGGTAGGCCTAGAAATGAACTGAAGGATAAGGCAGCCCATGCCAGCTTCAGAAACTGAAAACACCCTACTTTCTGTGGTGTGATTTGAAGTATTCTTAGACAATCGATCTTGATGGAACAAGGAAACACTTGCCCAAAAGGTAATCAGAATGAATCCTGTGGCATATGGAAGGGTCTGCTTTTATCCAGAGATGAACAAGGGCTGGATCCACAAAGGTCTGCTGAGGCCCAAGAGGGTGACTTCTGTGGAGCTTCTCCACTCACAAGGGCGTAGACATCCAGGGAGGAAGGTGGTTTTTGTTTCTTGCTTCAGTTGTAGCTCAGAACACCAAGATGTATAATGAAATACTTGTGAATGCTTATTTAATGAATGAATGCATGCATAGATAGGTAGATTTATCAGGATGGTGGTTTGCAGGCATGTGGATCTTAACCTAGTCAGACTATATCCTTTGATACAAAAAGAATTTGGGGGAGAGCAAACAAAAAGGAATTCATGGAAGACGTAAAACCATTAAAAAAATTAATTTGTAAAATAACATTTCTCTATTTTCTACTCTCTGAAGCTAGTACTGGTCAGGATCCAAGGCTCATGATTCACTTTTGTAAGTATAATTAAATACGCTGAAGTTTCTCTTATATCTCAATGACTACAAAAGGGAACATTTTACATTAATCCAATAAAGCATTGAAATGGAAAATGCTTCTATCGCTCATCTCTTTACAATTATACCAAGTCATAATTTCTATCAGTTTATAAACTATCAACAGAGGAAATAATATATATCATTTCAGATTTGCAAAGATCTTTTTCCTAATTCAAGATTTCCCTCATAAAATGAAGCATTGACACAAACATTGCTGTGTATCTCTCCTTTCCCGGTGTCTATTTCCACACATGCACTGGTTCTTTCTCTCTTCCCTTCCCTCCCTCCTTTCATCCTTGTCTGGCTTTTATTCTTTGGCATATGTCCTTTGGGACACTCTTTCTAATACTCCTCCCTTATTGTATCCCCTGCCCCTCTTTACCCATAGTCCTTTCATATCCCAGCTCAGGGCTCACTCTCACCAAATAGTGCAATGCTGGCATTCGTGTAACCCAACTTATTTGAGGCCACACAAGTGTAGTTCCCGTAGTCATGTTCAGAGACATTGTAGAAGATGAGTTTTGAGAGAAATGGTCTGTTCTCCACTTTGACCCCCTTCTTTCCTTCCACCAGTCTGAGGCAAACAAGAGAAAAACAAAAAGAAGAAAGAATGATCTTGGTTACATTTCCTTCATAGGAATAAGATAGATTCTGGAATGAATGATCTTCACATTGCCTGCTGTTTGACATCATTATTACCACTGTATTTTTCACTTAACTCCACAATAAGGTCACCCACAATGACACACATAATTGTGTTTCTCTATTTTATGTATGTGCCTAAAGATGTATTCTGTTAGAATGTATTATCTCCCCACACAGGCATTTAAGTTATTCGAAGGCAGCTGCTTTCCCTTGCTTTATAAACTTGTCAGTCACAGCACAACAAATTTATATGTCAGCCCAGATACCCAGAATAATACTACCCATGAAGTAAGTGTTCAAATCATGGGCTTATTAGATGTTCATGTTGATGATGGCAGACATTGCACTGTGGCAATAAAAAAACAAGACTAGAAACCCTTAAAATTCACACAGAAGGACAACCTGAGGTGAAAAAATGATATTATTCAAACACTTGAGCTACAATCTTTCTCTTTAGATCTTGAGGCAGTCTACAGATAATAACTTACATTTTAATAAGAAAATAAAAAAATCAGGGATCATTTTCACTTCATAGGGACCTGAAGGGCTTCCTGGGTAACCGTAGATGGACAGACTAGAAGGCTCAAAGGTTCCTAAGAATGGAACTTATAGAGTTAGGAAATTGTCACATGGCCACACAAAACGATCTTGCCATCTGTAAAGTCCCAATACTGGCAATACTACAGTCACTGGGTTGATTCTAGCTCCTACTGACCCTCCAGAGGGGAGCAGAACTGCCCCATGGGGTCTCCCAGACCATAGGTCTTTGAAAAAGGCCTCTGCCTCATCCTTCTCCAAAGGTTCGCTGGAGGGTTCAAATCACCTGCATTTCATTAGTAGTAAATGCTCCAATCACTAAATGTACATATACTTATTAGGAATGTGGGTTACATTTCTTTCTGGGTAGATGGATAAAGGAAAATGAAATACACTTATATGGCCAGTTGAAACAAAGCCTTTATCTTTGAAGAGTTATAGCATCAAATCCTATTACAGAGTGTATCTACAAGGAAGTAAAAAAACCAATTCACTTATTGAAAGTGATAATTTAAGAAGAACCTAACAATTACAACAAAACATTGCCATTAAGTTCATGGTAATCCTCATTGTATTTCCAAAACTGTAAAGCTTAGGAGAGGAGACTGCCTATCTTTTCCCACAAAGTAGCAGATGGATTTGAACCACTGACCTCTCAGCAGCTCAATATTTTAATACACTTTACCACAAAGGCTTCTTATGGAAAGTTACAGAATATCCTATGGCATATTCTATTTCAGAGAATAGCCATCAAGATAATTTTTTTACTTTACCTGAAATAATTTGCTTTTGTCTAAAGCCAATTCTACGCTACACAAAAGATCAGTACTATTGGGGGAAACCCTTCTAAATGAAGACTCTCTGGCAAGTGGTTATAGATATGAATTGCCTGTATAGGACCTGACTAAAGAGGGAATACAGACAGTAAATGAAATCAAGCTGGATGCAGGCTGAAACATGGTCATGGTCCATGAAATGGGCAAACAGTTGTTATTGGAGCAATCAAACTTAAAAAGACATTGAGGAAGATATAGAAAGTGAAGCCCACAAGGACAACAATGCTTTGTAAACTGTAACATTTATTTGATACAATGTATTTCTGTTGGAATTAATTACTGGGAACACTTGTCTAAACAGGGGGCCATGGCAGGTTTGGGACATAAAGAGCCATTGTTTCGTCAAGGTCTGAAAGTATCATTTCTGTTGTGGGGCTAGAGGATTGCAAAACCTTTCTCCTTGTCCAGATAGCTTGTGGTGAGTTTGATCAGAAGAGTGAGCCAGGTTCTGGATTAATTTGGGTTCTCATAGGACATCTATGTCTACAGGGTTGTCAGGAGATTGGTTGGATGATTTGGCTTATTTTCTGTTATATATAAGATCCTTCCTCTCTCATAAGCTAGGGACAATGAATTGGCCATGTTCATTGAAGTCAGTACAATGCTAAGAGCTATGCAAAAACAGTGAGACATCTGGCTGTGCTGCCAGATGCCACTTTTCTCTGCCCGACTTCTTATGTGGCTATAGCTCCTGGAGGGGTGTTGTCTAGAGAGGGAACTATGTCCCTCCCACCAGGCAGCTCTATGAGTTGGTCAAGCGTACTGATCCCAGTTTGCCATCCTGACATCCACGATGGTTTGGAGAGAGGTTGTCACATAAAGATCAAGCTGTGAATTAGATTCAGGCTCTGTAGTAGTGAAAGATACTCACCCAAAGCAGGTTCCAACTTGACAGCTCAGGAACAACCTCAGCTAAAAGCTGTCCAGGGTGGCTAGCAGCCCCTCACAGGCCCTGGAATGACTGTTTCCTTTCTCAGTTTTGCCACACCTTTCTCCAGCCCCGCACTACCACCAGCTGCAGTTCCTTAATGATGGCTCCTCATTGGCTCCTAGTGCCAAGGCAGGAGCCCATTTTTCTCTTCTTAGGTTGTCAGCACATATAGTGCAATGTGGCTGAGTACATCTCTAACAGTGTAGGCAAGAAACTTCTACCTTATTTTTTATTTATTTATTTTTTTATTTCATAGTCCTAGACAGGCCACTTAGATTTGCCCCTGAAGTCTGCTGATCTCATGAGGCTAGTGAACACATTAGAGCTGGATTCTCCCAGGGTGGGTGCATTGGGCCCTCTGAGACTTGTCTGGCAGGCGTTTTCTGGCAGCTTAGATGGCACAAGCATGTCTGTTAGTGACAAGGACTTTAGAGGGTGCCAAGAGAAATGACAACTCCATTTACAGGGAGAAGGCTAGGAAAAGGCAAATAAAGGAAAAGCAAATGGAAAGTTGCCCAAAAAGTCAATTGCGAGGGGCGAAAAGCAGGGACGTAAACACAGAAAGAACAAACGTGCCTGCTTCTGGTACCTCAGAAAACTGTAGCAATGTCATTTCACCCTCTCTTGGCAACGATGCAGGGTAGATTGGCGGTAAGGAACTGCATGGCCAATGCAAAGGTACACAGTCTGAATCCACCAGCTGCTCCATGGAAGAAAGATGAGCAATCAAGCAATTTACTGCCTCTGAAGACCCTTTAGAGAATCAGCTATGGGTCGATCCTGACCCTAGGCTACACACCAACAACAATCCCTCTGATTATCACTGGACAAGTTTCCATTGACTCCACCCACCCGTGTGCATCAGAGTGGAACTATACCTGAGATTTTCTGGAAGCAGATCACCAGGCCTTTTATCCATGGCAGACTCAAACTTCCAGGCTCGATTTGTTCGTAGACATTCTCGTACTCTTTGTATCATCTAGAGATTCCTCACCACGATCACAGTGCTCTATGAAAAAGGAGCTCTCCTCCTTCCTGTTCTCACCATTGCCTGAGGCATACTCTGCTTCCCTCGATATGGTTGAGATCTTACTTCCTAATATTTTGATACAGTATTAACATTTACACCATAGAGAAACGAAATGATGAGCTGAGAGGTGGATGACTAGCCTGGACATCTGAAGATTTGAGCATATCCTGCAGCTCTGTCTCTTTCTCTTGATATATATTTCCCTCTGCCTTGCTTCATTACACCTAGTTTTCCTCTAGGTATAATGTTGTTGTAGGGTGCTGGTGAGTCAATTCCTACCCCGGGCACCCTCATGTGACAGAGTAGAACTGCCAAATATGCTTTCCTAGGTTGATTTCTGTAGGGAACAGATCTTGTGATGTTTCTCCTATATAGAGATGCTGATGACATCAAAATGGCAAGCTTTCGGTGAGTGGTTGAGCACTGCACCATTATGCCACCAGGGAAATTAAAAACAGCTGAAGTAACCTTTCTAAGTAAATGACAGTATTTATTTATTTATTGGAAAAGTGTAACTTCTCTTTACTTGATTCTGACTTGCTAAAATAAGAAAGGTGGCTATATTTCTTCTAGTCTGTAAGATTATTTTTCTTCCTTCTGCATCACTTCTTTCATCTATAAAATGGGTTAGATAAATATGACACACTGCATTGAGAACATGCCAGAGTTATCTCCCCCAAAATAAAAGTGTTGTTTCTCATTTGGAAAGATTAAGGGAACTTGGTGGGAACAACCTTCAGCAAGCTTTTGTTATCTGGTAGGTAGCCCAAGGGCAGAAAACTAATGCATGCTGCTGACATTATAAATAGTATATGCAGCATGGCTGGCCCAGAATCTCCTACTGTTCTCCATCTTGGATTTGTCCTTTTAGTTGTTGGTGGTATTCTCAGATTCTCTAGCTCTCTAACTTCTTTATCTTTGTCCACCATACAACCACCTTGGGACTTTTTTGTACCCTCCTATTACACAACATTTTAATGAAAATGTTCTGAACATAGACAGCCCACGTGAATGCAGTACCATGCTTCTTAAAATAGCTTTGTGATAATGGTAATTGTCACGTTGCCTAGCTATAGGAAGCTGCTAAGCCCCGTGCTGTGCTAACATGCCACTCGATAAATTCTCAAAAATACAATCTTCCATGAATCACAACAAATGCCCTAATGATTGTAGCAACAATGGACAGGAAGAAAAGAGTCTCCCCTTTGCTCTGATAATGAAGGAACAACGTGGGCACAAAGGGCAGCTAAATCAGATGAGGACTCTTTTATCCACTGCTGCTGACAGTATCTGGACCAAAGCTTCTGCTAACTTCTCAGTCATTCTCAGCTCTGGAGAGCAGCAAGTATGAGAATGTGCTGGAAATAGTTACACAGAAAAGATGTTAAATCCTTGCCCCACAAACCATTCACCAGTCTTACAATATTCCCACTAGCCTTTCCACTGAAATTTCTTTTTTCCTTTTTTTTTAAAAAAAAAATCAGACTTGTGGGTTGACCAAGTGATGATTCAACAAAGAAACATTAAAAACATAGCTGAGATACTTAAGAACATATTTGTTTATATCTACTCTGCAACATACACCACTTTTTTTAAATAGCAAGAATTCCAAAGAGGATTTTATAGGCATTTGTGTACACCTCTCTGGAACTGAGCTCTGGTAAGCTTCTGTTTCTGGTGGAGTAGGCAGGGTGTCTTTACCTTTTATCCTCCTTGTACCACTGGAATTCTGCTGAGGGGACGGCCGAGGCTTCACACTGCAGTGTGCCCTTCTGTCCCAGGGGGACACCTGTGCCTTTAGCTTCTGAAATGTATGGGGGATCTGCAGAGAGAAGACATCCTATATCATTTACAGTGCATTAGGACTAAAGAGCCTGCCTCACTCACTGATTTTGTTCTTTACTCCCTGATCTACCTCTTTTACTTGCTTTATGAAATCACTACATGAATGAGACAGTGGATGTAAAATTTACCCGTACTGTTTTCAGAGAAAACACTTGGTCTTTATTGCATGCAATGAATGTTTCTGTGTCCCTTAACAGAGAGGTAGAATGACCAGATGTTCATTCTATGTCAACCCATCAACTCCACAAACCATGGGTTAACAGTCTTTAATTCAGGCATACCATGTTCTTCTTTGAGTATATATCCTTGAACTATAGAATTCCCATAAAAATTCAGGTGCAAGAAATACTAATCAGGGAGAATTACCTAAAGGATATAAAGAGCAGTAAATTTTCTAAGTATTCTAAAATGGTTCTCCTAATCAAATCCAGATTTAAACCAGACTTAAACGCTTGGTATGCATTCAATTAAAGTCTTTACCAAATTATTTGTGGCATTTCAACAGTCTATATCATGAACATCATGAAAAATAAGCATAACAAACTTGATAGTGTATTTATTGCAGGAATGCTTCAGAAGTTTTAGCTGACTATTTCAAAGTACTCTTATTTGTGGAGACACTGACGAGAAATTCCTCTGGGATTGCAGAACCTGCAAAAGGTTTGTTTCCTATGAGAAATTAATTTGGTCTTACCTCTTGGACATAAATATCAAAGCAGATCATTAATCTTCCCATCTTTGCTCTTACAACTGAAAGTCAAATTTCAGATCTGTATTTAGTACTCTTATGGTACATATTTTGTGTTGTGATTTATCACTGGCTCCTGATCATTTCCTATATATGTTTTTCATTTGCTTGCATTACCTTATGTTTTGTTGTTGTTAGATGCTAGTGAGTAAAGTAAAACTCGCAGTGACACTATGAACAGTAGATCTGAACCTTGCCCTATCCTGCACCAACTTCATGACTTCCATCATGCTGCAGCCCATTATTACAGTCACAGTGTCAATTCTTTCACATCGAATGTCTTTTCTTCTCTGAGCCTCTATCTTTCCCAGCATGATATCGCTTGTCCTGATAAAATGTCCAAAGTATGTCTGACGAAATTTCACCATCCTTGCTGCTAAGGAACACCTTGGTAACACTTTCTCCAGGGCAGATTGTTTTTTCTTTCTTACGTTTTAAGCTAATTTTTATGAGCTGCCAGTCATCTTCAAACCTAGTTTATTGTTGTTGTTTATCTTGTTTTTGTTTTAATGGATAACTCACTTCTACTGGGTAGATTCCAACTAACAGAGTCACTGTGGGACAGAGTGGAAGTGTTCACAACTCACAGGACAGGGTAGGCCGGCCCTGCAAAGCTTCTAGGCTATAAGCTTCATGGAAAAAGACTGTGTGAGTTCTTTCCTTTGGAGCAGCTGACAGATTTGAACTACCAACCATTCAATTAACCACCAAACACTAAACTATTGTGCTATAGTGGCTCCCTATTTTTTAATGAATATATTTTTTTAAAAAAATTGTCATGTTATAATACTCATTTAAAGTTTATGAGATTATGCTCTAATCCCATGAACTATTTCCTTGTTTAAGTAATTTTTATTTATTAACTAGGCTCATTTTAAGTAGCTCTGGTGAGCTAGCCATAAGAACCTGCACTGCAATTCTGAAGGCATGCGGTTTGAAGCCCCCTGCTGCTCCAAGGGAGAAGGATGGGCCATCTCCTCCCATGTAATTACTGCCTCTGAAAACATACAGAAGGGTCACCTTTTGGCCAATTCAACACCCCACAACAACAACAACAAAGGTTCATATTATAACAAAATCAACATTTTGAAATATAGCAAAGGAATGAAAAAAATTAGTGTAAACACTTCTTCCCTTGAAATATAGCAAAAGAATGAAAAAAAATAAGTATAAACACTTCTTCTCACCCATGTTTAAAAAGAGAAAAGACTCTTTGTTTCCATGTTAGCAAATGTGCACTATTTTGACATAAAAATTCATGAAATGGGCACAGCAGATGAAAAAGAAATAGTCAAGAATATCACAGAGAAGCTAGTCAATGTAATAAAGGAAAATTAAGACTGGAAAGGATGAGAGAGAGAGAGAGAGAGAGAGAGAGAGAGAGAGAGAGAGAGAGAAAGTAGTTGGAAATTTGAAGAAATTTGGAAGTCTGTTACAGAGTTTGAGAACAAGGGCCTGCAAAGTTTCAAAATTCTGTATCCTTATTCATTGGTGGTGTTGTCTCTCTATCTATTCACTGTCCAGTTGGAACCAACTCAGAGTCGACCCTTCAGTGGGTTTTCAGGGACACTAAATTGCATGGGAGGACATCTCCCAGCTTTCTCTCATAGAGCTGCTGGAAGAATATAATCATGTGACTTTGAATCAGCACAAGAGAACTAGAGTTCCCTACCCATGCATTTAATTAAAAAAATAAATAAAATTTAAAAAGAGATATCTAGTGTTGGGCTGCAAACCAAAATGATTTATAGCCTCAGAAACCTGATATACGGTTACTATGAATTGATGGCAATGGTACTATTAAAATAAAACAAAGCTCTCTACTGGCACTCATCTGCTAAATGTAGGTTGGAGATGTGAACTCATTTAGAGGTTTCACAGGACAAAAGGCCTGGTGATCTGTTCCTGTGAACAGTTCCTCCCAGGAAACACTACATCAAGCAGTTTTACTCCCTCACAGGGTCACTATGGATGAGATCTGTCAAAATGACTTTTAATCAAATTTATGCATCAAGTACTAAAGGTACTGATGAAGAAATTAAACTTCTGCAGCCTGAAATTTACAAAACATACAATTAGAATGCACTGATAATAACTGGCGATTAGAAAGCAACGTTGGAAGTCAAGAATAGTAATGGTAGTCAAGTATACAGACTTAGTGATAGAAACAAAACTGAAGATTGGACAATAGAGTTGTGTACTACCAGCAACTTATTTAAAGCAAAAAAATAAAAGTAATAACTGTACAAATGAACTTTATATAATTGCATATACAGTAATTGAACAGAATACATCTGTGAAAAGAGGCAACTCCATAATCAACACTCTTGGTACCAGCAATCAGGAAATCAAGAGACGATTTGCATTAAGGTAGGCAGCTGTCAGGGACCTCTTCAGAGTACTGAATAGTAATGATGTCAGTCTGAAGACTAAGGTGTGTCTGATCCAGGCCATAGTCTTCATAATTGCTTGTTATGCATCAGAAAGCTGGACAATGACTAGAGATGATAAAGAATTGATGCCTTTGAACGTTGGTGCTGGAAAAGAGTTTTGAATATAACACGGACTGCCAGGAGAACAAACAGGTTTGTCCTGGAGAAGGTGAAATCAGGCTGCTCCTCGGAGGTAAGCATTCTGAGGCTTCTTCTGACATGCTTTGGGTATGTTGCAACAAGGGACTGGTCATTGCAAAGGGACATCATTCTTGGAAGGGTGGATAGACGGAGAAAGAGAGGGAGACCATCGATAAGATGGATTGATACAGTGACTGAGGTAATGAAGGTAGGTGTGTTAGAGATAGTAAAGTTGGCACAGGATAGAGTAGGTTCCAGGGCTGTTGTACATAGGGTTGCTATGATCCGCAAGTGACTCAACAACACACAACAACAACGGTAACAATGTTATCTTAAAGTGCTTATACCTGAAAAATTACATGGTTAGTAACAAAGAGGAAGGCCCTCAATATGATAGACTGACATAGTGACTACATCAATGACTTTAAGCACAGCAGAAATTATGATGATGATGCAGGATCTGATAATATTTTGTTCTGTTTTTTATGGAGTTGCTATGAGTCAGTGACTTCTACCAACAATAACCACAAATATAAGAATCAATTGAACAGCATACAGGGAAATAAATTAGAAATAAAATTTTAAATACAACCCCAATATATAATTGCTTCTTTATATATATATTTACATTATATATATATGTCACATGTATCAATATATATGTCATATGTATCAATATATATGATTGTTAAAGGATAAGATAAATTATACCTGATATTTTCTTTTTACATCCTACATCCTGTTTTCTCATTGCTATCTAAGTGAAAATTTACAAAGTATATTTGTTCCAATTAAACCATCCAAACAGTTTGTTTCACAACATTCAATGCAATACCCATAATGTAACCACCCTCTTCCCACTTCATCTTTGTCATTATCTCTTACATCAGTCTTTCTATTTTACCCCTTTCTGCTTTAAGGGTTTTATCCTGGGGAAGATGCTGCCCCTTTGACAACTTGTTTCTGGTTATTTTAATGAGTGAACGCCTCACTGGTGCTATGGTTCCCCCTACAGCCTTGTCTATGAGTCAAGGGGGAGGTGTTTTATTCCTTGTTGGAAGGTAAACTAGGGGCCACTCGTCTCTATTGAACACATAACCTTGGCCTTGTGTATGTGGTTTTTTTTTTTTGTTGTTGGTGTTGTTTTGTGTTGTTGTTGTTGATTTTACCTTTGTTCCACATTTTATCCCAGTTTTATCCAGGACCTTCTACAGTGATCCCTCCTTTAGAGTGGTTGGCAGTAGGAGTATTGTTCTTCTTGTTGTACGCTATCAAGTCAGAACCAACTCTTAACTGACTTTCCAGTGGATTTCAGACGCAGTTAATCATATGGGAGGAGACTTCTCATCTTTTTCCCATGGAATACCTTGTGGATAGGGTATTATTTAATTCTTATGATGTCAGTGCTATGGAAGTCTCACTCATGTAGTCCATTAGTTCTTTGGACTATTTTTTTTTTATTTTTTCAGAATGTCTTTGTTCTTCTTCCTTCTTATTTGTTCCAGACAGAGATTAACAGTTGTATCAAAGATAGCTGTTAGCAAGTTGTTGTTTTTTTCTTCCTATTTTTTTTTAAAGAAGAAATTGAGATTGTTAACACTTTTAGTTTGCTTGGCTCCATAATCAACACTCTTGGGACTAGAAGCCAGAAAATCAAGAGACAAATTGCATTGAGAAAGTCAGCTGTCAGGGACCTCTCCAGAGTACTGAATAGCAACAATGTCAGTCTGGAGACTAAAATGTGTCTGCCTGATCCAGGACATAGACTTCACAATTTCTTGCTATGTACCAGAGAGCTGGACAATAACTAGGGATGATAGAAAGAGAATTGATTCCTTTGAGCTGTGGTGCTGGAGAAGAGTGTTAAATATACCATGGAATGCTACGAGAACAAACAGGTTCGTCCTGGAGAAGGTGGAGGAAAGGATTCTGAAGTTTCACCTGACATACGTTGTATATGCTACATGGAGGGATCGGTCCTTGGAGAGGGACATCATGCTTGGGAGGGTGGAGGGACAGTACAGGAGAGAAAGACCCTTGATGAGATGGGTTGATTCAGTCACAGGGACAATCGGGGTAGGTGTGTCAGAGACAATGAGGTTGGCATAGATAGAGCAGGGTTTAGAGCTCTCCTGCATAGGGTGGCTATGAGTTGCAATCGACTTGATGGCACATAACAACAACAATTTTAGTTTCTTTTGCTTGCCATATCTGCTAGTCTAAGTGTGCTCTATTATACATAGGGTTTTTCTTTTCTTTTCTTTTCTTTTTTGGACATAGGGTTTTTGAAGACCTGCTTTTTCAGAAGTGGATGGCCATTTGTGGCTGACTCTAAGAAGAACGGGAATCCCAGAACACTTGATTGTGCTTATGTGAAACCTCTATTTGGACCAGGAGGCAGTCATCAGAACAGATCAAGGAAACATTGCATGGTTCAAAACTGGGAAAGATATGCACTAGTGATGTTTCCTATCTTCATAACTTTTCAATCTATATGCAGAACAGATTAACCGGGAGGCTGGGCTGTATTAGGAGAAATGGATTGGAGGAAGACGCATCAACAATCTGCATTATGCACATGACACAATCCTGCTTGGTGAAACAGAGGAAGATGTGAAACTCTTGTTAAAGAAGGTCAAGGACTGCAGCTTTCAATATGGATTGAAGCTTAACATCAAGAAAACAAAGATTTTTCACCACTGGGCCAATTGGGAGCATCATGATAGATGGGAAAGAAATTGAAATTGTTAAGCAGCTTTAGTTTGCTTGACTCCACAATCAATAGTTTTGGTACCAGCAGCCATGAAATTAAAAGACAAATTGCATTGTGAAAGTCTGCTGTCAGAGAACTCTCCAAAGTACTAAAGAGCAACAATGTCAGTCTGTAGACTAAAGTGCACCTGATCCAGGCCATAGTCTTTGTAATCACTTGCTATGTATCAGAGAGCTGGACAATGACTAGGGATGATAGAAGGAGAACTGATGCTTTTGAACTGTGGTGCGGGAGGAGAGTATTGAACATGCCATGAATTGCTAGGAGAATAAACATGTTCATCCTAGAGTTGGTGAGACCAGGCAGCTCCTTGGAGGCAAGGATTCTGAAGCTTCATCTGACATACTTTGTACATGTTCCAAGATGATACCAGTCCTTGGAGAGGGTCTTCATGCTTGGGAGGGTGGAGGGACAGCACAGGAGAGGAAGACCCTCAATGAGATGGATTGATTCAGTGACTGGGGCAATGGGGGCTGTTGTGTCATAGACAATAAGATTGGAATGGGATAGAGTAGGGTTTAGTGCTGTTGTACAAAGGGTCACTATGAGTTGCAGGAGACTCAACGGTACATAACAACAACAACAACAATTAGTTGATTTATAAAATTTGAATACATTGTTTTCCAGAAGAGATTCTTCTAAATTCCCTCACCCATCTATCCATCAAATTTTTATAATCCCATGATTAATCTCGCCTGCCTCTGCATCTCCTCATCTCTCTGCTTCCCCCCTCTCCCACCCATGGATCCTTATACTCATTCTACATAATGGTTTTATACAATATTTGTCCTTGTGAGACTGAATTCACTCAACATAATTCTCTCCAGTTCCTCCCACCTTAGGTAATAATTTACAAAATCATTGCTCCCATGTGCTATGTAGTATTTCATTATGTGAATGTACCATAATTTCTCAATCCATTCATTTGTAGTTGGATATTTGACCTGTTTCCAGGTTCTTGTGATGGTGAATAACACTACTGTGAACACTGGAGTACAAGTGTAGTAGGATGCAGAGCATTATAGACTACATTATGCCAGTTGACCTTGATGTCCTATGATACTATGATCCTGAAAGTCCAGGATGCACAAATCATCACTTTAGGGTGTTAGTTATGATTAAGAAGTTTATAGTTTTGTCCTCTGCTATTTCTGCTATGTACATAGATAGTTACAGATTTACAATTGCTGTTGTTGTTGTGTACCACAGAGTCAGAACTGATCCATAGCTGACCCTCTGGCAAGTTTTCAGAGGCAGTTAATTGCACAGGAGGAGGTTGCCCATCCTTTTCCCACAGAGCAGCTGGTGAATTTGAAACTAGTGTCTTTGAGATTGCAGCTCAGCTTCTTGCCATTAGGTGACCAGAGCTCCCTAGATTTATAGTAGATACTAATATTAAAAGAAAATTATCATCTGTCAAACCTGTGACGGTCAGTCCTTTTCACCTCTCCATATTTGTTTCTCTTTCCTACCTGCTTATATTTCTGCTTGCAGATTAACATTTTATATTGTTTATATCACAGGATTATGTGTATTATAGTGTTTACTTATGCTGAATATATTTTGTGCACTTTTCTATATCTTCCATATAGTTAATTGCATTGTGCCAATTGTGTCATTGTTGTCTTTCTCTTCACTCATATTCATATGTGTCTCCTATATATTCACTTACTTTCACTCCCCTCTCTGTTTGTTCCAATTCCTGACAATCATTCAAGGATTATTTCACTTTGTAAAGCTTTGTTGATCTTGTCATAAAGAAGATGCAGAATATTCATCTTTTTTTTGCGACTGGTTTATTTCAGCTTAATGACCTCTAGATCAGCTCTGTAGGTGGATATATGCAATACATTTTAATTTTTTTAAATAATTCTGCTTTAGTATTTTACAGTATTCTTTGTGCATGAACCATAGTTTCTTTATCCAGTCATCTGTTCATGGACACTTGGGATGTTAAGGCAAGCTATTTCAAAGGCAAGGTATTTTGGAAGTGGATGCCACTCCTGCTTCCAAGCTTGTTTTAACTGGGGAGTTCTACCAAACACTGTCCACCATTGGTAACCATTATCACATTTGACATATCAGTGTCACAGTGTTTAACATCATATCGACCACAAGTTACCATCTTTGCAGAAAATGCACAGACGAATGCAATGCAATGAACATGGACACATATATATCTGTTTGTGTTGCAACTCATGTTTATTACTTTTTATAAATACCTCATTAGTGGAATTACTGAATAAAATTATATTTATATTTTCAATCTTTTAAGGAAGCACTAGACTTCTTTCCATGTAAAGTGGTTGTACCATTTTACAGTCCCACTGGTAGTTAGCATATGGTTTTTATAACTTTCTATAGTGATAATGAGTCTAGAGTTGTGGCAACTTCAGAATATTAGTTAATTAATGGGCAATTTAAATATTTGAAGACAAGTGTGTATATAATATATTTATTGAATGCCATTTAATGATCTTCCAGTAATGCAAATAAAATCTGGGATTTTAAAAAATCACTTTCAGGTATGGTGATAAAAATGATACCACAGCATTTGAGGTATCAAAATTAAGAGTTTGGAAAGCAGAGTATGGAAAATAATGATACATTTGCCACCATGAATCAGTAGTTGTCTTTGAACCATAACTCTTCTGTTGCTGCCAGGGCAGTGTGCTGACTTCTACACATGCATGGTATGTGGCATACTTACAGTTGACAGTGACCTTCACTCTGCGAACCACAGGTGGGGACACATCGTTGGAGGCACTGCACTCATAGTCTCCTGATTGCTCCCGAGTGATGCCTTGGATTTCCAAGTATTCATCCTCACTCACAAAGCCAACAGCTGAAGAAGAAGCACAGTGGCATGGTGAGACGGGTGGTAAAAGAATTGCTTAGGTACAAAATGCTTAACAAAGAATTCTGCCATTTCAAAATTCAATGTCATAGAAATTCTCTAAGGTTTCCCTTCCTCATCTCTTCCTTCTCCTTACCCTTTCCACATTCAACTTTTTCTATGCTTTCCAATGGATCAGTTGAAATATTATCTTGCTCTCTGAATTCAAGCACAGGGCCTAAAGAATTTGTCTTCAAAAAGTGACTAATAATTTTGACATTTACACAGTCCAGCTATAGGATCTGAATATGGTACCGCTGGTAAATATTAATTGTTTCTGGTCTCAAGGTATCATTCTGACTGTGGCTTAAAGTACAAATTTGATGATTATATGCCTAAAGTATGGCACACATGTACACACACAGAGACTACGGAAAGGAGTAGAAATGCAGATATAGTAAATGCAAATTTCTGCTCTTAGATCGAGACAATCAAGTAGACAGGCAGAAATCAATTTGTAAATGGCAATATACTACAAGTCTGGGATAAAAGATCTGGATTACAAACCAATAAGAAGGGCTTCATACTTGATGCCTAACTGTGGCATGAAAGAATATGTACAGGAATATTTTTAGAAGAGAAAGACATAGCTCCAAACACTTCTTTTCACTTAATCATTCTGATAGTCTATTTCTTTAAAGAAATTGTATTAATAATAATGACCTTATACTTACTGAACTTCATACTTGATGGCTGGTCATGATCATGTGATTATAGGAAGACCATGGTATTTAAGCTCAGAAAAATATGTTAAAACTGTCTCACATTGGAACCCTACACTTTAGATTCCTTGTTGAAGATAGTAATAAAAGTAACCGTATGCTTACATTTTCAGGAAAATTCCTTTTTTTTAATTTTTTTAAATTTGAATTTATTATTAATTTCAGTAAAAATTTACAGAGACTTTGGATTTCCATTCATTCATTGTTGCACATTTCTCCCCTCCCAACCCTCCCCCAAGAACACTACCCTCTTGGAAAAGTAAAAGAAAAATTCTTTCATTGTTTTAGAAACCCTCCCCCAGGTCCACTCCACCACGTAGCCTTCACTCTAG